AATGGCCTTTACTTGCTCTTAATTCTGGTCTTTCAGATTTGTTTTAGTATTACTAAGAGTGTTCCTTGGGATCTATTACTTAATGAATTTGCGATTTATCCAAGTTGATTCTCAATATTTCTAATTATAGCTCCTTAACTTTGTAACTGATTTCCCATTTGTAACACCACTTCTTCTATAGATAACTTTTTCTCCTTAAATTGTGTATTACTATTGAAACCTGGAGGATAAGTAGATCTGTACTTATTATTCCCTTGGTTGTTCCAGTTTCCCAATAGGTTTCCTTGATTGTTTCCCCCATTGCTGATTATTACCACCCGAATTGTTATTCCAGTTAAAGTTGGGATGGTTTTTCCAACCTGAGTTATAATAATTTGAATATGGGTTATTCTGCTTGTTATTTATGACATTCAAAGTTTCTAATGATGCTTGAGAATCTACCATTTGGCCTAATGAATTCTCTTCAATCATGAAAATTGGTTGAGAAAAATTCATTCCAAATTGGTCCAACTTCGTTGAAATTGCAGCAGCCTAAGAAGCAAGAATTGAATCACATCTGTAGCATGAACACTAATTAACTTTTTAAGATTTTCCCTTACAGAGGGCCATTGAAATTCATTTGTAGCCATTTCTTAAATTAACGCAAATGCTTCATCAAATGATTTTGACATTAATGATCCACTAGCGGCAGCATCAATAATGGACCTAAGGGATCATACTAACCCATTGTAAAAAGGTTGAATGATTAACCATTCAGACAGAGCATGGTGTGGACGCTTTCTTAGAAGTTCATTAAATATTTCTCAGGCCTTATATATTGATTCCCCTTCATATTGACTAAATGAGATAATATCATTTCTAAGTTTAGTAGTCCTTGAAGGTGGAAAATACTTAGGTAGGAATTTCTGAGTTAAATCCTCCCAATTTTTAAAAGAGCCAGGTGCTAATGAGTATAACCACATTTTAGATTTATCCCTTAGTGAGAAAGGAAAAAGCCTTAGTCTAATAGCATCATCTGACATGCCATTATAACCAAATGGATTATTTGATACCATTTGGATAATAGCAGATTTATACTCAAATGAATTAGCTACTACAGTAGGTTTTTGAATATTACAATGAAGTTCATCTACAATGAAGTTCATCTACAGTATATATTACAATGAAGTTCATCTACAGTATGGTTGACATAATCTCATAAAGGTCTAAACTCTTGATGAATTTTGATTGTTTGATTGTTTTGGTTTGCCATTTCTGTAATTTTTTAGATTTTTCAAGATTTTTGATTTTTTTGATTTTTCTGATATTTTTAACAGTTCTCTCTAATTCAGAATCGTAGGACATTAGTCCTTCGGAACCTAAACTATACATACACTAACCTAAAATAAAAATAAAATAAAACACACAAAATAAAATACAATAATTGTTAAAGTTTAAATAAGACTTTCTAAAAATAGAAACTTGCTTTTAAATCAATTAATTTCTCCGGCAATGGCGCCACAATGGCGCCAAAAAACCTTGACCCCGATAACTACTTATATGCAACAGTATAACAATGTCTCTAATTATATTTTTACCTATATTTTCTTGCCTTGCAACAGAGTCAAAATGCAACAGAGTCAAAACTTAAACAGAGTCAAAACTTAATCCTGAAGCAAATAAGAATTTAACTCTTTAATTTATATATTGGGATACTACGCAAGTATACGTATCGTTATCAAGTAATGTATGACTTTCTGATTAAGACCTAAATATCGAACCTATAGGAAAATTATGTAATATGTTCTATTGACCAACAAACTTTCTATTTTAAAAAGACAATTACTTAAACTAGAGATGTATTCGCAGTAATTAAAATTCAAATCTTTTTGATATTTTTGATATTTTGACAAAAGAGTAACAATTTTAAAAAATAACTTGAGTTTATGTAAAAGAAAAGCACTAAATTTGAAAATATCACTCTCCTTATCATGAATCGGTAATAAGCATAAAAATTATGTTATGGTAGTATGTAAATCTATTCTTTACCCTTACCAAAGATGCTATAAAGAACATTGACTAATTTAAACTTTGAATAGTTCTGAAGACTGGCTAGGCAGAGAAGATACCAGCACTCAGAATAGTTCTGAAGACCGGCTCGACAGGGAAGATACTAGCTCTCACTCTAGAGTTCCCTCGATTTCCTCTACCTGGGGGCTAACATCTCGTATCAAAACCTAAAACAATAAACCAAGTTGGGGGCTTTAACCTGCCACTTTAAAGTCCTCTAACTCTACACCCTTCAAAGATTATTTCCCTATTCATTTGCATTAAATCATATGAATTACATTCTCATTCATACAACCTCATGTAAATCTTTTCAATTGTTGACTGAGACAATACCATCCCGGTTCTTACATGTTCTCACAACAAATTTTAACATCTGAATATGCCAAATTAAGAAGTAAATGAAGTTCATGGATTTAAATCATCACAACTTTTTCCAACATTAAATTTCAATACTCTCCACAATTTCCATCCAACACTTTAATTACTTATCATTTTAAAGAGAAAGACAAAGTAAACTACTCAAAATCCATAGAGAAAACAAAACCACACTTTAATTTAAAACTAGAAATCATTGTCAAACCAACAAGAAATCTCGATTAAAACCAAAAGTAGCATAAAAAAAATAATAAAAACTTATCTCAAATTCTCCACAAATCTCAAATTCTCCACATCAAATTCTCCACAAAACTCTTGAAGTTCTTTTAAATCTCTTCTCTTTTACAACACTCTCAAAATAAACTAAAAACAAAAATGATAAAGTAAATTTGTGGTCTCTGAAAATCTCTCCAAAACTCTCTCCTTTCCAACACTTTTCAGAACTTTCAAGCACACTTTAAAAAGTCTCAACTTCCTTCTTTTATAAATCTCCAATAGGTGTCTTGATAAGTCTTCAAAATGTGTCACAATTCGATGCATTCTCCATAGGATGTCTCCTTTCACAAGTCTTTTAATAATATTTTCGTTTCTAGTAGTCATAACCACCCTCTTTAGCAAATAGGTGCCTCAAATACCTCTTCAAAATTTGACCAAATGAAGAAAACTGTCAAATAACTACCTTTGGCGCTTAAGCGCGGGGCCTCTGGCGCTTAGGCGTGATCTTCTCTGTTTAACCAGCGCTTAAGCGCCGAATCTGGCGTCTAGACGCCAAAACACTTTAGCACAATTTTCACATCTTTGCTCCAAATTTGATCATTTTTCACTTCTTTTAGCATTTTTCATATTTTTACTTGTGTCTGAAAGAAAAACACACAAATACCTTCCATTAAAGCGCAATATCTCAAAATAGCTATGAAAATGCATCTAAAAATACTGTATATTTTAGGTGTATCAGGAGGCAAGGTTAGAGACTTCCCTAATATTCCAGATTAAGATATTAAACATGATGTCTTAAGTCTGCCCTCCTAGTAGATTTAGGAGGCGTGCTAGAGTATTATTCCCCATATGAATAATAATTTCCTTCTGTTAGAATGTTTTCAATATTTAAATTAAGCATCTCATTATTCCTCTTGTGCTTCTTTATTTGTGCTTTTTGGTTTTGCTTCTCATTTTCTAATGCTTGGGTAGCTTCCTCAACATGATTATTTAAAATATTACCAGGGTCAAACCTTCCCTCCTTTAGCATTTGCCTGGCCGACGGCTGCAACTCCCCTACTCCCTTTCAGTAGCTGAGGAAGAGGCCAGCCTTCCACCCGAAGGTCCCGCTCTTAACCAACTTCGAAGCAGGGACCCATGCAACATTAGAATTTAAAGGAGAAATATCTGAAACATGAAGAGGAGGACTAAGGATAAAATTCTCAGCGGTAGTGTGCAAAACATCTTCCTGGTTAAGTGAAAGACCACCCTTCGTATTTAAATTAATTTGCCCATCGTCAGAGGGAATCTCAAATTCCCTCCCATCAGAAACATTTAAATTGTCATGCAAAAAATTATTTTCACCATTAGTCATGGGATTGTTCCCCAACGCATTTTGCAAATCAACATTTATACCATGTTCACCAACATTAGAAAATGGCTGGTCAACAATCGTAGCATTCCCAGCCTCCCCCTGTTCAACACGTTCAGTTCTCCTATTATCCAATTTAAGATTAGGGTGCAAACGAGTACTTGTATTTTTTAAAGGAAGCACAATCCTATGTGCACATAGATGCCATCGTAAAAAACCACATCTTGGGAATATTTTCTCATTGGCCAAACCCCTACAAAAAACCGACCTAGAGGAACGGCTACTTATTTTTTATTTCTGCAAGCCTTGTGGACTAGTTGGTAGAAAACTCTCCCTAATTAAGACTCAAAACACATCCTAATCACTAACCACAAATACTAATTTCTAATTTAATAGTCATTAAGACTCAACTTCTCAAAAGAAAAATATATATATATGAATAAAATTAAACTCTTCACAATAAATGTATAAATTATATTTAATAATGACCAGAATGCCCTTAACAAACTTTGTCCTAATCAATAATCATGAAAATAATATGCACGCATTACATATTTAAATAAAATAAAGTTCTAACATGTGATTTACTGAATTACACAAATGCTTTGTTGATCAAATATAATGATGTATTATGGTTTTTTTTTTTTTTTCATTTCAGTGGATTTATCCGAGCCTATTGTTTCTTTCTATTGGTTTGATAGGGGGTTGCATTGCGTGCATGATTTATTATTGAGTCCCGTAGCGTAATGCCAAAGTCTTACCTACCTGCCTTGCGAACGTAATTTCACTATGTTGTCAATAGTTCTATCCCTAAAATCAACACAAGCTACTATACAATATAGAACATAACAGTAAAATGTAAGATAATATGCCCATAGAAGATGGGAATCAAGCCTATTTAACAACCTTTTGACAGTAGAAATATCAGTTCTAAGCAGCAATATCATGTTTTTTATCAAAAAAAGAAAAAAAAAACGGTAAGAGAAATACTAAGTACAGAAATGGCTCATTGGAATGCTACATCAATTTCCTTCTTCCATCCAATTAAGAAAAATCAATAAAAGGTTCATTGTAATTGTTATCATTCAAAAAAAAGATATTTATAGGTACATGAATGATAAAAAAGAAAGCATGTTTCTCAAGAAAAGAAAAGCTTCGCATAAAGGAGCTCATTCCAGGTGTCCTGGATCCCAGGCAAACACCAATGCACACAATCAGCATAGCTCTTTGGGTTGGCGAGCTGTTCTGGCGTCAAAGGACTCCATTGCTTCTTGTAAATGGAGGTGTGTGCATCTCTCCGATATTCTGAGAGCTGAGTAATGTTAATAACAGTAATTGGTACCTTCGATTTTTCGAAAACTTCACGAATCACTCGCATGATTCCTTTGTTAGTACTTCTTCCCCAGTAATTTGGATCCTTAATAGGAGTTGTTTCATTATAACAGTTCCCATCTGCCTCTCCTCCCCACCCAAGACTCCTGAAAGCAAAAAAAGTCGTGTTAATTGATGGTCTAAAAGAAGAAGATCAATATGCTTAGACTATGATCCAAGCAAAAGAAGAAATTTTAACATGGATATTGTCATCACATGCAGGTCTATGTTACCAAGGTGAGCTCCAAAGCAATATTTCTTAAGGTTTTGTTTGAGTGACGTGAAGGGAAGAAAATGAAATGAAATCTCAGCAATGTAGACATCAGTCATTGATTTGAGCTTTTCACTTATTTTTTGTTTTCTTACGCTCAAGTTCTCAGCATCCAAACACAGTTCAAAAAAAAAAACTTGGGCTATTTGGTTTGCTGAAAGAAAAATACTGTGTAACTAAAATGTAGTGTATTTGAAATACTTTGATATTTTTTGGATTGGTATAAAGTAAATGCAGAAGTTTATATTTTTTGTATTTGGTTTGAAGAAAAATGAAATCAATATGAACCATTCTCGACGATACTGATGGTAGGCGGTTGTTATTGTGGTGGCGAGAGGCTATAATTTATAATGTCTATGCAAATTAATCAAATCTAACGAATTCGGAATGCAACAATTTTGAACTGCAAGATGAATTCCAAATCGACTAAAATTTTAAATTAAATTTCATTTTCATTTATCCAAATTTCGAAATTTAAAAAATCCCTTAATTATATTTACTTTAAACCTAAAATGCATGAAACCAAACCACCCCATAATTATAGACACAACCCATGAATGCCGCTAAATTGTTAACAAAAAAATACAAGGAAAAAATTTTCATTAACAAAGTAATTTTTAATTATTGATAGGTTAAAAGTAGTTATTGTTGAAAATGAAAGCAAAAACAGACGAGTAATTATACTGAAAGTGGCTTGACTTCTACAATTCTAATATCTACACCAACGTTTGATTCTAGTAATTACAGCATTTTTATAAGTAGCTTAGTTAATTTGATTAAAACATTATGCATAACTTGAGCAAATGAGTTTCAACGCTTACGTCTCATGAGAGGGTGACATGCTGGTGAAGAAAATTCTATTCTGATTGGGATCCATATTCTTTTCTACCCACTTAACCATTCTCCTCAGAGCAAGCCGATATGCATCCTCCGCCTCCATCTCCACAATGTCTTTAATGTCGTTTTTGAATGAACCTCTCCTATTAAATAGAAGTAGACAGAAATTAAATTCTGAATGAAAACTTACTTTGAACCGAATGAGCCTAGCTTACAAAGTTTTCATCTTCTGTCCAGTCATCCACCATAGATAAGTATTGAAAACAATAATATCAGCTCCTTTCCAATGTTGAGCATGTTTGTTAATAGATCTGACTCGAACTATTCTATCAGTAATTCTGTGCACAACAGCATCGTCAGAGTTGGATTCAACAAGGAAAGGAGCCCAATAGAACTCAATTGTGGCATTATAATCCTGAAAATAAAGATATAAGAATCGTCAGTTACCACAAAACTGGCTAACGTGTTTCCTAATAAACATTTCGAACAAACAAATTGATACTTTTGTCTTAGATACCTTAGCTCTAAAAATGGTGAGGGAATCAATAGTTTCCATGGATTTGGCGCTGTCAGGAATGCTTCGGTGCAAGAGGCAGACCATGGAGACAAACTGGCCGCGATTTAAGGAATCACCAACATACATCATTCTCTTGCCTCGGAGATTTTCCAGCATTAGAGTGGCATTGAAGCTGTGATTTTAAGTTAAGAAAAAATCTGAGAATATATAAATGGTTCCTCAAATTAAATACAGAACTGTGATTTAAAGAAGACAAGAAAAAAAATTCCATTGCAAGAATATTCTTTTTAAGCAAAATGCATAATAAATTTGTGAAGCGCCGAACAATTTGGTATGAGGTAAAGTAACTACAGTTTTCATGAAGAAACAAACTCAAGACCTCCTGCAAAGTCTAGCCACTTCTCTTCGATCACTCGTTCTCATTCATTTAAAATTTAAAGATATATATCAAATAATTCATGAAAGTTTAGCCAAATTTAGCATCTATCAGCTAAATAATTTTCAAAATTAAACACCTCTAAGTTTTACAACACATTGGATTTACAAGTTTTACTATATCTAACTTATACACGAACCTTTCAATTGCAGAACAGAAGCGCCTCACCTGGGAAGATAGCAGCGGCGAGGCTGCCATCGCCAATGCTGGTAAGCAGAGTCCGGGCGGCCATGAGCCTGGCAAGTTAACTGCGGTTGGATGTAAGGGCACTCCTCCTCCTCGTACTGCGGCCGACCATCCTCGTCGTAGATCCATTCCCCCTCAAACAAATCGCACCCTCTCTTCCCACGTCCAACTGCGAACGGCACCACTGCTACCTTCGCTTCATCCAAAGCCGCCAAATCATCCTTCTCTAAGTCAATCATTACCATTAAGTATTCGGAAGATCTAATCTAATAAATTTGATAGAAAGTTCTCACCTTTTGATTTAGTGTATTCCTGGATCTCGGAGGAGAGAATAGGGCGGCGGAGGACGCAGGCGAAGTCCTCTCCGTAAAGGAAGGCGACGAAGAGGATGAAAGATAGAGTGATAAGGTAGGTGGAGAAGGGGCTTCGCCTCGGTGAAGGGGAAGACGAAGGTGGCGGATGCTTCATCGCCGGAATCTACGATAAGTGCAGGACGAGACCGAGAAAGAGAGGGCATCGACGTTTAGGCCCCGCGAGCCATTATTAATACTGCCGAGCGCCGAGCGCTGACTTGGGGCGGGGGGTGCGCTTAGAGTTTGATCTTCATTAACTTTTTTAGCTACCTCCGTCTCGAGCTCAAGTGAATGCGACTTTCTCACAACAAATTTACTTCGAATTTTTGCAGAATTTAAGGTAAATTCTCCGAGAGTATTTTGGCAAAGTTTGAGGTAGCTTCTGCCTTTTCGGATAAACACCTTACGGTGAAATCTCCTAAGTACATTTTTTTTTAATAAATCCTGTCTATCCTAAATCCTACAAATTAGTGTATTCGAAATCCTTCAAGTCGGTGGATTTAACCTAGCAGAGCTTAGAATTTAGTTTGAGGGCTTCAGATTGTCCCCATCTACTATAACTACTTCTTAAATTCTTGCTAAAATTGTCAAACAGTTTTATCAAATTTATAAAATTTAGTAAATCCATTGCCACAAAGAATTTGGGCATTAATCCATTAAGGATTTAATAAATTCAGATTTATGAGATTTACTAAATCTTAATAACTTAAATCTTATATGGTGTCACACAACCCCTACGAGTTCAAACCACCTCACATATAGAGTTATTTATTGTAAAAGAAGAAATTAATATGAATTTAAGATAATTTTATAATAAAATGATAAATAGAATGAATATTTATTATAGAAACAATACAAAATCACTTAGAATAAAATATAAAATATTATTTTTTAAATATTATTACTACTTTAATGATGAAATTTTCAAACTTAATATATTTTGTAACAGATTTATATTAAATTTTATTTATACGAGTTTGCTCATGTGTGAAAGAGTCGAGTCGGGCTAGCTTGAACTTGGCTTGTTGGCTCACCGAGCTCAGTTCACGAGCCACTTATCTTACACCTTGCAGTCGCCCAAGATACCCTAAATCCATCCTCAAGAGCAAAAATATAGACAAGGCTCGTCAAAGGTAGGAAAATACTTGCCAAATAAGTTTCAGTGGGTTGAGCGCGGAAGTACTGTGAATCTGGTACAAGCGTGTTGGGTATGGTGCGGGTGCGGAAGGACAATGATGCAAGTGCGACATGTGTGAGTAGAAAGAAGCGCACGGGAGAGCTGGGGGAGCGCGGTGCTTTACAATTGATGTGGGTATGCTAAACATGGTGCGGGTGTTACGGGGCTAAAACGGATTTGTCATATGTACGACGCGGGTGTGTTGGTTTAAATCTCCATATTGTATTCTTTTAAGTTCTTTTTCACTATAATTTCACAGTCAACTCGTCTCGTGCACAACAAAGGAAAAAATATACTTCTCAAGCATAATATTAGTATAAAATATGTAAAAATATGTGGAAATATTCCATAAAAATATCACATATCTAGCTTATGTCAAATCCCCAAAAATTGTTTATTACCTACCCTCAGGTAATCCTTTTGACTGAACTCAGATTAAAAACAACAAGGTTGTGTTCCTTTATTCTCTTCATCTATGAATAAAAAAAGACAATTTTATTAAGGTATTATGATTTACAAGACTAAGTGAGGACTTCCTTGCATAATCACACCTTATACTCTTCGTGTTTTACCCTTTTCCAAACATAAGAATTCTTAAACATTGGTGAGACTACAATCCCTCTTATTTCCCAAGAATATTTTAAGCACTTTCTTCTTATTTTAACCATCGATTCTCTCTTAATTCTTCATGCATTTATAAAGTTCTAATGATTTTACCAAGAACGTAATTACACATTTGACCTTAGACTAGGATTAGAAGACCGACTTTTGATAATGATAGTGCTCAGTGACAAGAGATTTTGTATATGCAAATATTTATGAAGTTGGCACTACTAAATAACGCCAAAAACTTGATGCAGGTGATTTAGAATAATATGCAATATAATCCGGACAAAAAATATTTTTTTTATAAAAATAATTTATCTTTCAAAACTTTTCTTAAACTGCTAAAATCTCTTTTAATATCAACGCAAGTATACGTATCGTTCAAGTAATAAAAAGCTCTAATGGAGTCATAGATATCGATCCCACACGGAAGTTGGAAAATCCTAAATTAAATTATGAAAATTATTTTGTACCAAAAACTAAAAAAATAAAAGTAAAGTTCGGAGTTTGAAAATTAACTACTGATACACCTAAAATATATAGTGTTTTTAGAAACATTTTTATACCTATTTTTGAGATATTGCACTTTAATGGAAGATATTTTTGTGTTTTTCTTGCATTTACAAGTAAGAAATGGAAAAAATGCTTAAAGGAGTGAAAAAAGGATAAAATTTGGAGCAAAAATGTGAAAAATTGTGTAAAAGAGTTATTGCGCTTAAGCGCCAGATCCGGTGCTTAAGCGCCGAATAAACAGAGAAGGTCGTGTCTAACCGTCGAGAACCCGCGCTTAAGCGCCAGTGGTAGTTACTAAACGAGTAAAATCAATTTTCACGAATTTCGAAGAGATTTTTGAGGGATCCATTGGCTTAATAGGTGGTTGTAACCACCATGGACGAAAATTATCATGAAAGGATGCATCTCTTAGGCAAATATATCGAATCAAGATACATTTTGAAGAGATCCCAAGGCACCTCTTGAAAAAATATAAAAGAAAGAAGAGAGGACTTAGAAAAGAGTCCTGAAAATATTGACAAGTTTTGAATGTTCTTTTCTAGGGAGTTAGTTCGGAAAGATTTTCAGGAACCACTTTTTATTTAATTTATCCTTTTTATTATTTTCTTTTGAGTGATTGTAAAAGAGAAGAGATTCAAAGGAACTTCAAGAGTTTGGTGGAGGACTTGAGATAAGTTTTTATCTTTTTGTCTTAGACTACATTTGGTTTTAATCGAGACTTGTTGTTGGTTTGACAATGATTTCTTCTTTTAAACTAAAGTGTGGTTTTGTTTTCTCCATGGATTATGAGTAGTTTTCTTTATCTTTCTTCTTAAAATGATAAGTAGCTAAGTTTTGGATGGAAGTTGTGGAGAGTATTGATCTTTAATGTTGGAAGAAGTTGTGATGATTTAAATCCATGCACTTCATTTACTTCTTGATTTGGCCAATCCAGATGTTAAAATTTGTTGTGAGAACATGTAAGAACCGGGCTGGTATTGTCTCAGTCAACAATTGGAAAGAATCACATGAGGTTTTATGATTGAGAATGTAGTTCATATGATTGAGTGCATGTTGACCTCACTTTTGGTTGAAGTTTAATTTTTCCGCTTTAGCAGCCCAAGGTCTAGCCATAGGACTTTCCTATTGACTATTCTTAGAAAACTAGAAAAGGAACCCTCACCATTATAAATTCTACCCTCTTCTCTACTCAACTTGAAGTTCCACATATTGATCATAACCTCTAGCACTTAATAGGTGGGGTCATTATGGGGGAACCCCAAGATGAGTCACCCTTAGGACTGTTGGACCTTAGGGTTAACCCTGGGAGTTGGTCTAGGGATTAAGGTACATAATTGCACTCACAATCACTCACAATCCTAAACTTAAACTTCTAGACTTTGGTCCCTTGATACTTTTGGGAGACTCATGTAAGTGGTCCCCTAAACCCACTAGCCCTAGGGTAGGGTTTAGCTAAGACCACTACATAGAGGACCCAAAATGGGGTTTCCATTGGTCCATGGCTTATTGATGGTGGTTGGCGCTCCAATTCTACCAAGATACCCAACCTAGCCTTTTGCCCCTAAACTCCCCCAAATTACCTAGATATACTTGGGAGCCCAAATTTGGCCAAAATTTCCAAATTTACCCAAAATACCCAAATTAGTTCAAACACCTTGAAAAAACCGAAACTACCCAAAATCACCAAAATTTGCCAAATTACCAAAATACCCCTCATTAGCCCAAAATTGCAAAAATTCCAAAAAAATCCTAAAAATCCCCAAAACCTCCCAAATATTCCCAATTTCATTTTTCTCAACTATTACATTACCCAATTTGGCCAATTTGACCATCTTTGACCAAAACCCCCAAATTGCCTTTTAAAGACCCATTTTTTTTCCAAATCTACCTCAAATGTCTATCAAATTGGTCTCAGTTTCCCCCAATTTTGATTCTAAACTCAAATTCATCCTTGATATGACTAATATAAACTAAATCCAAGACCAATTTGTCCATCATTTGAGCCCAATTTTGATTTAGATCAAAGCCCCACTTTTGGCCACATGACCTAATCTCATCAAATTGAATGCCTTAACCCCAAAATTGGAACCAAATTTATATTGAAAACTCTTCATGAGATCCCTATTGACCATTTACAACAATTAATTTGGATCTGACCCAAGGCTATCCCAACCTAAACCCAAACCTAGCCCAATATGCCCAAATTGATCAAATTTCAAAATTCCTCCAAATTGACCATCCAATTGAACTCAAAACCACTTTCATCCTTCACTAAAGTTGTTGCTTATGATTATATACACCAAATGAAACATTTATTTGGGCCAATTAACATGGCTAGTCTAGCCCAAACTCAAATTTTGGTCATTTGCACCCACTTGGACCCATGCACTAAATGTAGCCTAACCACCCCAAAGCCATCAAATTAACTCCACCACAGCCATTAGTTGGACCCTAAGACTGAGCCAAAAATCACCTAACCCAAGCTAAGTGAGCCATGGACCAATGGTCCCCTAAATTAAAGGATTTGATTTCCATATTTTATTAGGCTTAAGATCTTTTCGCCAAAACTAAACCTCAACCCATTAAATTATTGTGACAGATTTAAATTATAGCCCATTAAATTACTGTGACATATTCCCCTGGGTTCCCTAAGCTCCTAGCCACCTCCCCCTACCATGGCCGGCTGGTCTAGTCACCAGAGAAGCCCAAAACAAGGGCCACCCCCCTTTGAATTTCACCCAAATCAAACCCAGAGGCCACCTCACTCAAATCAAATGATAGAGCTCCTCTACCCTTCACCTAAGCATCACAATACACCCAAACATTGGCCCTGAGAGCCACCCGTTAGACATTTTTATAAAAACTCACCTCCACGGCCATAGAAGGTGTGCTGAAAATTTCTTAGAGATAGCCCCCAAACTTCTCACACAGCTTCTCT